ATAAGTTTTTCTAATGGAAGGTAATGTGTTTCGGCGTTGGCCATAGCTTTGCTCACATAGTAAACTAGTCGCTGCTCCCTAAGTTCTTCCCTTAACAGTACGGCACTGACCGCCTGGTCGGATACTGCCAGATACAAAATGAACGGATCGCCTGCCGCAGGTGTTGCCAAGCGTGGTACTGATTGGAGATAAGACTTCAAGCCGTCTAAAGTGGCCTGGCACTCGAGGGTCCAATAAAATGCTCTGCCTTGCCGAAGTGTGTGAAAGAATTGTCGGCAGCGATCTGTGGAACGACTGATAAACCTGTTGAACGCGGTGGCCATTCCCATCAGCTTCTGAACCTTTTTGACTGACCGAGGGGATCCAAGCTCTAGAATTGCCGTGATTTATCTCGGATTGGCTTCGATTCCGCAGTGGTTAACGATGTAGCCAAGGAATTTGCTGGATCCGATACCGAATGCACACTTCGAGGCGTTCAATTTCTGCTTGTACTTTCGAAGGATGCCGAATGTCTCTGACAAATTGGCTAGGTGAGATTGTTTTTCCTTAGACTTGACCACCATATCGTCGATGTATATTTCCATGGTACGGCCGAGTTGCTCCTTGAATATGGTAGTCACTAGTCTTTGATAAGTTGCCCCCGCATTCTTCAGCCCAAAAGGCATGACCTTGTAGCAATAAGTTCCTCTTGGGGTGAGGAATGCGATTTTTTCTTGATCCTCCGGATGCATGGCAATTTGATGATAGCCCCTGTAGGCATCCAAGAAGCTCATGTGTTGATGATGTGCCGTTGCATCTACGAATTGGCCTATTCTGGGTAGGGGAAAATAGTCCTTGGGACAAGCTTTGTTTAAGTCAATGAAATCCACACAAACACGCCAAGAGCCATTCTTCTTCTTTACAACCACAGTATTGGACAACCATGTAGGATAGGTTACTTCGCGAATTGCCCCAGCGTCAAGTTATCGATCTACTTCTTCAACAACGGCCGAAGTATGCTCCGCGGCTGATCGCCGACTTCTCTGAATAATTGGCTTATATTTTGGATCAACGTTTAAGCGGTGTTGGGCCACAGATGGATCCACTCCTGGCCTCTCGTATGGGGACCATGCAAACAAATCAATATTGCCGAGTAAAAAGGATACCAATTCCTGCCTTTCAACTTTATCCAAGGAAGCGCTGATCATGAAGAACTTGTCAGGACTTCTGTCAATTTCGACCCGATCCAAGGCTTCGATTGCCTTTTCACTTGGGATCTTCCCAATGTCTTCGAGGCTCTTCCTATCCGACACCTCAATTGAATGCACTTCCAGCTCCCTTGGTCTTTTTGCAGCAAGAAGATAGCATGTCTGTGTCGATTTCTGAGAGCCGTGAATTTGTTCGATACCGTACTCAATCAGAAAACGAAGTAGTTGATGGTAAGTGCTTGGCACGACTTGCATTTTATGTAACCAAGTTCTGCCCATGATGAGATTATACGGCGAAGGAAGCTTGACAACTAGAAATTCTACATCTACTGATCTGGTGTTGACCCATACTGGTAGTGTGATTTTGCCCAAAGGATACTCCGGGTTAGCATTGAAGCCGAATAACGGGTAGTCAGTTGAAGACAGGTCCGAGTCGGCGAAGCCAAGTTTGACGAAAGTCTTGTAATATATTATTTTCGAAGTGTTGCCCTGGTCAATGAGAACATGCTCAATGGTGAATCTATTTACGGGTAGCTCGATGACGAGGGGATCAATGTGGGGTTGAGTTACTCCAACTAAATCACTATCATCGAAACTAATCCTTCTAGTGTCATGGGGCCATTTCGCTGGCATCATTGGACTACGGGGGCTAGACTGCAACTGAATTGTATACATCTCGGATGACGCTGACAAGCTGTATATCATATGAATTACACCAAGAGGAGGTGACTCCGGCCGTAGAGCTACTGTATTTGTTGAATTGTTCTTTCGGACATATTGCGTAAGACGGCCGTCTTGCACCAATTCTTCCAGGTGATCCTTTAATGCATAACAACTGTCGGTGTCGTGACCGTGGTCTTTATTATACTCACACCGTTTATCCTGTCTTCTCATATCGGGAGGTCCCGTCATCTTGGGTGGCCACTTGAAGAACAGAAGGTGTTGAACTTTCGACAGAATCTTACTAATCGGCTCTGTTAGCTCCGTGTATTTATTGCCTGAGCGCCTTGTGCGCCTGCTATCCACTTGGTATTGTTCATTAGCTCGATGTGAACATTGGTCATTTGATTGGCGCGAGTCACACCTTTTGTCTCGTTTAGCTTGATTCCGCCACTTAGGGATTCTTGATGGCACGACGCTAATCGACTGAAGAATTCCCGACGTGGCCGTCTCAACGGCTTTATGTCCGGCTTTGACCCGCAGGGCATCGTCTTCCACTTTGCAGTATTCTTCAACCTTCTTCATTAACACCCAAACGGTTTTGGGGGGGCCGTTTGGTTAATGAACTGCGGAGAGGACTATCAGGATATCTTAAAGGCGGTGATGGCCATGCAAGCATCATCTACCAGATTAAAGCACTCCCAATAGCGGGCCGAATATTCACGAAGAGTTTCTTCTGGTTTAATTTGCATAGCCTAGAGAGAATCGGCTTGCTTCGACTGGACCTAATTAGTGATAAATCTCGCCTTGAATGACTTTTGGAGTTGGTGGAAGCTCTTAATCGATGTCGGCTCCAGTTTATAGTACCACCTCACGGCTAGTGGTCTTAGACTGCTTGGAAATATTCGACACGTGAGGGCTTCGTTGTCAGCATGGAGCGTCATCGCTTGCTTATAATGACGAATGTGATCAGCGGAGTCCAATATTCTGTCGTAGAGGGTGAACGATGGTGCCTTGAACTTTTTGGGTAGCACAACCCTTGCAATTAGTTGCATGAAAGAGTCATGTTTATCTTCCCCATCCGAATCATCATTTCTCCCTCATTTATGCCGTACATATGGACTTCCTTCAAATGTGATGGATACATCAACGCGTCCTTTCTTTCTAGGCTCCAGAGATGATGAGTCTGAATCACTGTCATTATTGCGTTTCTGAAGTCGACGTCGTTGACCATCCTTTTTTCCCGAAGGTCGACCCTGGTCTTGGCATGCGGCTTGTTGGGATTTTGCTACCTCCAAGGCCAAATCCTAGCGCAAGCACTCGTTCTCAGCCATCATGTTCTCCAGCCGCTGTTCATTTTGCTTTGCTTGCTCCATAATCGTTTGCATTGTCTCATGCATTGAAGTTGAGGGTGAAGTCTGAGCTACTAAATGGAAGTTCAAGGCCCGTCGTGCGGTGATATTCTCCGGTCCATGCATGTTTTTTGGAGTGAAGTCGTCTCTTGGTGTAGTTTCGTTAGCGACTATCGAAGGATCTTCTGTGACGCCCGTCATGGATATGCTTGAGTGTTCTCACAGATGGCGTCAATTGTGGTAAAGTGGTTTGGAAATACTCTTGGATCCTAAAGGACGTTCCTAACCCTGTAATTGCCACCTGAAAAAGGGATTAACACTTCGATCGGGTGTGCCGGAATTAGCACTCCAGCGGACAAGTTAGTATATGTCTCTCGTTTGATTGTGTCTTAAGTTTCTTGGGTCTGTTCTCACATATCTCTCTTTGGTTGATGTTTCTCTCTTTTATACTTTTTCATAATCTCTAGAGTCGGACCCATTTTCAATCCAGTGCACGATTGCTCACTCGGCCATTCGGTCACGTGCCTATTCGTACTCGGCTTCATGATTTAAGTATTCGGTTTCGGGGTTGCACAAGATGGAGCCGAATAGAGTATATATCTTGATTTTCTTCAAATTCATTTGGCTTTCCTCCAGGAACTACTTACTCAGCTCCCACAATTTTTTATCTTTTTATCTTTTTTGAGTCATATTACCTCTCTATTTTTTTTTGCATATCTGTTCATAAAAAGTAAAAAAATACACTTATTTAGATCATCTCAAATAACTCGCCCTTCATTATAAGGAACTAAAATGGTTAGAAATTTCTTTAATCCTATAGATTAAGATCAATGATTTTTAAAGTAAGGCCTCATTATGAGTTTTATTTTCAAGTATTTTTATTTTAGGACCAAAATTTATAATCCAATCTTTTTGGACCTTTGACAATATCTCAAATTGAGGTATTTTGGATATTTAAATACTAATTGTGTCAAGTCTGCAAATGCATATAACTGAAACCATGAATTAAGATTTTGAAAACCATGCATGAAATTTGAAGATATACATAACAGGAGAATTGCCCAAATAGCCAAGTCTGTACAATGGTGACTTCTTTTTCTAAAACTTGAGACCCTTTCACTCTAACTTTTTTTCTAGGGTTTGCTCAAGCACCGCTTGGGGTGAGAGAGGGGGGCTCCAACCTCCTTCTATCTTTTTTTCCCTTCATTTTTCTTTGTCGTTTGGTTCCAATAAGCTCTGGAAGCTATGTTTTTCCATCTTATCCCTCCTTTGTGAGGTGCTTTTCCCCTTTTGGTGGAATCTAGATCCGTTTCCCATCTCTCCCTCTTCTCTATCTTACCCAGCCATGGCTTTCTTTGGACACGCCATCTCCCTCCTCTCCCATCTCACGCTGACACCACAATCGCCACCAAATTTGCCATCACTCACCAGATTAGCTGCCTATACGAACCCACAGCAACCAGATCTGCCATCATTCATCATATCAACACCCTCTTCGAATCCATCTCTACTGGTACCGTTGCCACTCCTCCACTACCATGGCTAGGGATTTAGGTCTAAGTTTCTTTTTCTCTTGTTTTGTTTGGTGTTTGGTTGTGTGATAAGTCCATCAGTGCTTGATTGTGGCTTACCCTCTCTGTAGTTAAAATCTATGTTTTATGCTAGACTTGCTCTATTGTCAAACTTTTATGATCAGCGTTTGTTTTGCAATGCGAGCTTTGTGTCTAGATGTTTCCATAGTTTTCCTCCTAAGTATTTCTTTGTTGATTTTTACTTTGTATGGTATAAGTTAATTTGGTTGGATGGACTCATTCAGTAAGTATCCTTTGGCTGATCTTAATAGAAATTTTCTCAAGTTCAAAAAAAAAAAAACCAAAGTCTGTACAATGACATTTCTTTAGTTCTTCCCCTCTTCAATAACAACGGATTTACAGGGAAGATGAGGCGGTGTAGTGTAAATAGTGAAAATTCTCAAAACGGAAAAAGCAAAAAGGAAGGTTCTACATGAACCTTTCTATTAAAGAAATTAATCTTGTAAGCTATAAGCTAAACCAAACACATCAAAATAGCTTAAATTAAGCTGAAAGCTGAAATAAGCTGCTTTTAAGTTCTGCCAAACAGGCACTTTGTATGGTATAAGTTAATTTGGTTGGATGGACTTATTCGGTAAGTATCCTTTGGCTGATCTTAATAGAAATTTTCTCAAGTTCAAAAAAAAAAAAAACCAAGTCTGTACAATGACATTTCTTTAATTCTTCCCCTCTTCAATAACAACGGATTTACAGGGAAGACGAGGCGTAGTGTAAATAGTGAAAATTCTCAAAACGGAAAAAGCAAAAAGGAAGGTTCTACATGAACCTTTCTATTAAAGAAATTAATCTTGCTTAGCTTCTTCTCACACCATACTAGCTGATCTGTTGTTAGTCTCGACATACTTAGCACTCTGGACACCAATTTCAGTTCAACTTGAGCAAATAGGAGCGTGCGGTCCAATCTAGTTTCTTGATGTTTTTGAAACTTCCTCACTATGCAATTTCCACTTCTCAATATGTCCTTGAGCCTTTTCTCCTTCTGTGTGATGAGAGCAAACAATTTCAAAAATAAATGTCAGACACTAAATCAAAACAAAATAGAACTTGTCAAGAGATTGATAAATCAAATTAACCTTTTGAAGACTCGCTTTAATTTCCATTAGAAGCTCAGAATCTGAAGGGTCTTGAAGATTCACACGAGTCGCCTGAAACCCCTTCAAGATTACATTGGTGTCGTCTTTGTCAGCGTGAACAAATTCCCAAAAAACATGCATCGATTCGTCAATAATTTCTGTCAACATTCCAATTGAAACTACAATTTCTCCCTCAATGATAGTCTCTTTCTTGTCCTTCAAACAATCATCTGCAGCACAATTAAGCTTTATTTAATTTTGTTCCATTACATATTAGAGCATAACAGTAAGGCTGTAACATATTTATTTACACCTTGTAATAAAAAAGCCTACTCTCATAAAATTTTATTTAGCATTAGAATGTGACAGTGATAATTTTCAAAAATTTGCGTCAGTTTCATTGGCCTTTGGCTTTAAAAGTAATAAAATCAAGGGATCAGATTCTCTCTAGTCTTCAGAGATGAAGTTTTGGCTCGTGTAATCTGAAGTGTTTTTTCTTCTAAACCCCTGTAATTAAATAAGGACCACATAAGATGAAAGGCACAAATTACTGGAGTGGGGATCCAAACTACACCGCTCTAGTCCACGGAGTAGGCCAAAAGAGAAATCTCTCCCTAAACTCAACCTTGGCACGTCATTCTGGAATAAAATTTTTGTTCGGATAACATTACTCATATACCTTTGACAGCCGGAACTTGAAGGAGGCTGGTATTATGATCAAACCGGTTCTTGGCATAGTTTTGAACTCTGGGTCCTTGGAATGCCTCATTCTCTACAAATCTCTGCACAAGAACTTGAAACTGTTGAAATTCACCAGCCACTTGGTTGTACAATCGAAGTCCATCAGAGTCATAGTCTAATAACTCTATTGCTTTTCCATATTGCCAATGGAGGATTTCCCAGGAAAGGCAAGCTTGACCAACATACACTAATTCCAAGTTTCTGTGAAATTCAGTAATGGGTTTGAGAGTTGGGTCTGCATAGATCCTTCTTAGGTTGCATGGCCAGAGGTTTGTGCAGAGAAGTGATTTGATTGCTGAAATTGAAGTTTTTTGGCCTGGAACTTGTTGAGTTGGGTCCTTCAATTGGAGAAAACCTACAAATATAGTGGATTTTCTAATTATTAATTAGAAGAGGAATGCTACACAAATAAAAAAAAAAATCTATACATAATGATGGGATTCATTGTGGACCTTTCATTTCAAAACATAACACCTTTGAAGATAAATTTATTTACAATAATGACATTACTATATCATTCTTGTCAAGTTTTTTATTTGAATTTTATATATGTTTAGAATTTTTTTAATTACAATTATTCGAATAATTACACAATCCATTTTAAAAATAGAAGTAAAAATGACACTTTTATCTTTTTATCTTTTTTGAATCACATCACCTCTTTATTTTTCTACATATCTTTTCTTAAAAAATAAAAAAAATACACTTATTTAAATCATTCCAAATAAAAAAAAAAATTCAATGAAATTCACCCAAGTCTGAGGTTGATGTTGTGCAGTGGACATAACTCACTTTGGGCTAGTTTCAAAAATCAAAATTATTTATCTTGTACAACCTTTTGTGTAGATCATACCTACAAAAAAATTAAGTTTACATTTATTTTAAAAAGTATAATTATATGATTAGATTATATTTAAAAATAATAATAGTAAAAAAAATAATCATCAATTGTATTAATATAAATATAATCTGATTATATGATTATTAATATTTAATTAATTTAATTTTTTATATTAATCATCAAATATTATAAAATGATGAATCGTATTATGAAAATAGACTAGAAAAAACCCTAACGAGTGAACTATTCCAAATTTTACAGCCATTTGTCCTTTCTGAGGAAACTATTCAAGATTTTTTTTATGTGAAAATCTAAAGTTGTGATGGGAATAAAAATGTGGACCACAAGATGGAATGGAAGTGGGCCATAAAAGCCCTACTGATGTGATTCATGAAGGCAAAAATGGTCGGTGGAATGACATTAAAAGACTACTGATATGGTTACATTGCCTATAAACAAACACGAAAAGCAGGGGTGATATAAATCAAATCAAATAGCAGACAAAGAAATACCGTCAGCTTTACATCAGCAGTCCCTTAAAATAGAACCTTAAATAAAACTCTATATACGTGCATAACAAAAAAAACAAATAAAAAACAAAACACAAATTTAGCTTGCTTGTTTTTATTTTTCAAAAAATATTTTTTAAAAAATCTTATATTTTCATTTTTCGTATTTTTTTATTTTTTCTGAATTTTTTTAATATTTTAAGTAACTTTTTTATTTTTTAGACACACTTAACATAAATACATTTAAAAAATATAAAAAAATATAAAAAAAAACAAATTACATATACCTCACTTGAGGTTTGACTAAATTATAGATACCCCTTGAGGTTTCGGAAATTACATCCCGCCCCTTAAGGTTTGTATTTTCATAACAATTTGCCCTCTGAAGTTTAAATTTCATAACAAATTAACCCCTAATTAGGCTATTTATGTATTTATTAATTTTTTAAAATATTTTTTCACAAATTTTTTATATTTTAGATACATCTAACTAAGGTGCATCTAAAAAAATCAAAAAAAAAATATTTAAAATTTTAAAAATATTCACTAAAAACAAAAAAAATATAAAAATAAAAAAACTTAATTTTCAAAAAATTTAAACAAAAAAACTCAAACCAAACACCCTCACTATTATTAAGATAGAGCCCACATAATTAGAGGGAGCTCCGCTATTAGACATCCCAAACATTATTCGGTTTAAATGCATAGTGGGAGGTTATGTTGGTGGGTATAAAGAGGGGGGAGACCCACCAAAACAATAATGATTCCTTGGAAGATCTCTTTGATTGAAACAAAAATCTTCCACATCATTAGATTGGACAAAGACTATTTTCTCTTTCAAAAAAAATAAAAAAATAAAAATTCTAAATAAAGGATTGTTTTGATGATTAATTATTTTAACTGATTTTTTTTATTAAAAATAGTGTAATAAAATAAAATAAATAATTAAATTTTTATTTATTTTAACATGTTCCCAAAATATGAGATAAAGTATGCACATTGATTTTTTTTGGTTATTAACTGAAATTATTTATTATATTGATAAAGTCTAACCACAATGGGTGCGGTTGGAAATTTTTTTTTTTTCATCTCCTTCACTGGTATGTGTGTTGATTTTTTTTTTTGGTTATTGCCGTCAATCAATAATTAATTATTGCACTGAGAAATTCTAACCCCATGACATATTGGACTCGTGTATCTCATTGACTAGTATCTTGTTTCAGGCACAAATTATTTATATATATATATATATATATTTAAAAAATTGTTTCTGAAACTATTTTAAGAAATTTTTTTACCCACCCAAATGTAGAAAGAGAAAAATTATTTTCACTGACTGCTATTTTGCCGTCGCAAAAAATAAAGAAAAACACTAACATGATTTTTGGTGACCATCTTGTTACCGTCGCAAAAAACAAAAAAAAAAAAATAAATAAAGGTGCAATGTTAAGCACTCTAGGAATAGCAATGACAAGAATTCAGACAGTATAACATTGTAGTTTAATCAGGCATTCGATTTGGGTCTCAAAACTGAAGCCATATGTGAAAGTTATTACAACTAAAAACTTGGGAAAAGTTCTTTTATGAAAAAAAAAATACAATCCAGTGTAATTTTAAAAAATAATAATAAATTCATGAAAATTTTTAAATTATTAATATTTATAAAATTTATCATTAATTTATAATCATTTTTTGAAAATATTATTGATTTGATTTTTTTTAAATAAAAAATAAAAATTGATCTATTTCGAGAGTTAGCTTGAAATCAACTGAGATTTAAAGTTTGTTTGAGATTATTTAAATAAATATATTTTTAAATTTTTTCTAAAAAAAATATGTAAAAAAAATAATAATAATAATGTGATCAAAAACAATAAAATTAAAAAAATCATATGACAGATGAAGAGGGTGATTAGAAACGTACTGATAGCATGTAGGGTTTGGTAATTCAAGATATCCAATTTCCTCATTTTCTCAACATAACTCTTGTACACTTTCTGAATGTCTTCCACTCTATCTTTATGCTCCAACTTCTCATCAATTTTCAGAGGTTTCAAATCTTCAGCCAATTTCGGACTCTCGCATTCCTCCAAGATCGTCGGAAGCACTTTCGGTCTGGCATTTTTCATCTCCATCTTCATCTGCTCAATCATGTCCTTGTGTTTCAACAGAATATCAAATTCATCTTCGTCTTCAAGATCTCCATTTTCATAATTTTCTTGTTTGTTTTCCGCATCTGACCCTTTCCAGACCCGACAGTAATAGGAATCTCGTGCACTCGACTCATAACATTGGAAATTGGGCTCCAATTCTGTGTACTCATCAATAAATTCTTGCTGCTTCTCTTCAATATACATTGGACTTCTACCACTGGACTCGGATTCAGATTCAAACTCAGACTCCCAAGGCGAGAATTGATTCTCCGTAAGCAATCCAACTTCATCTGAGAAATTATTCAAATCCAGATGACTATGATCTGACTCAGACATCTCTTTGTTTCCAAGAAGATCAAATTCAGTGGAAATTACTTGATCTTGTTTCTCTAAAACATTTTCACCGCATGGGCTTTGAACAGAGTACTCTGTTTCTTCAAGAACATCCTCTGCTTCTGAATTAAATTCCAGGAAATCCTCATCAGAAGAGACTCGATTGATTATCTGATCATTTCCGTTGGAACTTTCATTGGAATCCACTGGAAATTCTTGGACTTCTTGTAACTGATCTTCTTGAGAATCTGTTTCCGCAGAGAGTGGCGTTTCTTGATTTTCTTGATTTCCAGCGCCAACAATTGGAGCATAATTTGAACCCACAAACAACTCCTGCATTGTAAAGCTCATAGCTTCTGGTTCCTCCATGAATCCCCTGAAATCTTTTCCAGAGATAACCTGATACTTGCTCGTGTTCGGAGTCGGTGAATTTTCCATGAAAACAGAGTCCTCTGTTTGGCTACTCTGAAACTGAAACCCAAAAAAGAACTCATCATTCTCTTTCTTGCCAAACCCATCTTTTTCCAAAACTGTGGAATTACCAGAATCAATATGATCATCTTGCTGAGAATGATCAACTCTAAAATTGCAATCAATCTTCTGAGAACTACTATCTTCCTCTAATCTGCAAAACAGAGTAACCAACTACTAATTAACACTAACCCATTAAAAAAGCTTATAAAATCAACTACCCAGAAAGACTAATATGTATACCTGAACATGAATCTGACTATGAAATCAAGAATCGAAAACAGGGTCTTGCAGGCCAAAACCCAGAAAGAATTAGCAAGTCTAAACATTGATTTATACACAAAGTCCTCTAAATAGGCTTTATCTAGAAAATCAAAGTGAGTTTTGGGGATAGAGAAAGAAAACAACTTTTGGGTAGCCATCAAAACAATCAACCTACAAATGGGTTATTTTCATTTCTAAGCGAAGATGGAGGGAAATTAGTGAATTTTAGTCGCACAGCTTTTGTACTTATAGCAGAGTTTCATTGAAGAGGGTGGACCTATACACTTGTAGAGAGCGCAATTTGTGGAGAAAAATCTAGCCACTGTTTGGCTGTCGAATACTGAAAGTCCCCGTTTGTTTTGGGTACAGAGGGAGGGTTGGGGGTAGGATGCAAGTGGGACTCATTTTTTTTTAAGCATTAATGTTTAACATTTTTTTATCTTCTTTATTTTTTTATATAAAAATAATTTAATAATTCTTATAATAACAATTATTATTAAAATAAATATAATTTTACTTAATCCCTTTACTAATAATTCTTTCATTATGAATTTCCACCATTCTATCTTTGAAAATAAACGGAGCCAAAAACTTTTTACCGAAATGTTTGGTTTCTCTCTATTTAGAGACATTCGGTCTAGTTTAGCCCTTGTTTGGCTAAGTTAATCGGATTAAAAAAACACAAAAGATAAATTAGACTAAATAAATTAATAAGACAAAATGTTATATCCAAATTTTTTTAAGCATTAATGTTTAACATTTTTTTATTTTCTTTATTTTTTTTATAAAAATAATTTAATAATTCTTATAATAACAATTATTATTAAAATAAATATAATTTTACTTAATCCCTTTACTAATAATTCTTTCATTATGAATTTCCACCATTCTATTTCTGAAAATAAACGGAGCCAAAAACTTTTTACCGAAATGTTTGGTTTCTCTATATTTAGAGACATTCGGTCTAGTTTAGCCTTCGTTTGGCTAAGTTAATCGGATTAAAAAAACACAAAAGATAAAATAGATTAAATAAATTGATAAGACAAAATTTTATATCTAAATTATAATCATTTCACTTTTTCTCTCACAAAAATCAAAAAAATCAACCAAACGAAGTTTTTAATCCCAAACTAAAAAAGTCTCAATTCAAAAAAATTAATTTAAAAAACCAATACCAAACAACGATTTAGGCCTAGTTTGGGATTTACTATATAATTCATCTTTTTATCTTTTTTCCATCACATCACCTCTCTACTTTTCTGCACATCTTTTCGTAAAAAGATAAAAAATACATTTTTTTAGAACACCCCAAACCATAGTTAAGCTCGTTGGATGAAAAATTACTCACCATGTTGGTTTTGAGTTTTTAAAATTATTTTTTGAATTTTTAAGTTTTTATTTTTAGTAATTTTGATATTTTTATTATGATTTTTTAAAAATTTTGGTACTAATAGGAAAATAATTATGAATTTTATTTTAAAAAATTCAGTGAATACCAAAACATAATTTAACTTGATGCAATTTGCGGTAGGTTTCAACCAGTGATCATTTTTCTTTGCTGATAGCATTTCGGTTGAATGTTGAGGCAACTGACCACAATTTCCTTCCCATGGGCGTGTTGAATTTTTTTTTTTTTCTCCGCAAGGAAAAATATATTATACTTTTCAAAATGTATCTAGATTAAATGTATTAAAAAGTATAAAATTTTTTTAAAATTTTTTAAAAATTCACTAAACATTAAAAACAAAAAAGGACAAATTACGTAAATAGTCTCTATAGTTTAGGGTTTGTGTCACTTTGATCCCTGACTTTTCAATTGTGACAGATTTGACTCTGAGTTTTGAATCTTGTTCCAAATAAGGACAATTGAAGTTACCATTGTTTAATTTCGAGGGCAAAATCGTCAATTTAATAAAATATAAACTAATTTGACAAAATAAATGTCAAAAAAATATTTTTAATTTTTTAAAAATTATTTTTATCCACCAATGATAAAATTATGTAAAATTGATAAAAATTAATAAAAATTACATGATTAATTTTTTAAAATTAATTTTACATGATCATCATCCAAACACATAATAAAAATTAATTTGGTAAAAAAAAAAATAAATGCCTAAAAGATTTATCAATTTTACATAATTTTATTTTTGGTAGGTAGAAATAATTATTAAAAATTAAAAAATATTTTTTTGACATTTATTTTTGTCAAATTAGTTTATATTTTATTAAAATTACGACTTTGCCATTGAAATTGAACAATGATATTTTTAATTATCCTTATTTGAAATAAGATTTAAAATTCAGGATCAAATGTATTACAATTAAAAAGTCAAAAATTAAAATTAATAATATTTTCAATTGTCCTTATTTGGAACAATATTCAAAATTCAGGGTCAAATGTGTCACAATTGAAAAGTCATGGACCAAAGTGACACAAGTCCCAAACTATAGGGACTATTAGTATAATTCACCCAACAAAAAATGACTTGAAGGTTTCAGCCTTTAACAATGATCTTTTTTTTTGTTGATAACATTTCGATTGAATGTTGAGGCAATTAAGAACAATTTCCTCCACATGGATATGTCGATTTTTTTTTTTTTCCCTCCACAAGGATAAATATTTTGTACTTTTATAAGTATATTCAGATGAAGTAAACCAAAAAATATAAATATTTTATTAAAATATTTAAAAATTTCATTAAATATAAAAAAATATGAATTGAACTTGAAAAGCATTTTTGAAAAGGGTAGTGCTTCGTCCCCCGAAACGGGGGTCCCCCGAATCCCCACAATTTCCGTTTTTAGTAAAAAAAAAAAAAAAAAAAAAAAAAAAAAAAAAAAAAAAAAAAAAAAAAAAAAAAAAAAAACAGTTTCTCAAAAAGGAAATTAGGGGGATTAGGGGGACTTTTTTTAGTGCTACAAAGCATTTTCCTTTTGAAAACCCTATAACCAAAAGTATTATGTGACATTATATATGTGATATTTTTTATTACTAAAAAACTGCGGCTTGCATCAACTGAATGTGTCATCATTTATTTTCTAATTATTTAACAAAGTTTTGTAAATTTTTACACCAATTGATTGGATTTAAAATAACATGTAAATAACATCCTATCATATTCTGAAATTACCGAAGAATACTCATGTGGGGCATCCTGACTTTCACCTTGTTGGTTTAAGTTGTTTTCTGTAATTAATTATGTATATATCATTAGTGAAAAATGAGATTAATTTAGTACTTATAATTATATAATTTTAATAGATTTTTCTTGAAAATCAGAGAAGTACGGTTTTGAGTACACCCTTCAATTTTGAAGGCATATGATATTGGAGTTTTCTTAAGTGTGCAAGTGCACACCATGTGCCACTTACACAAAAAGTATAAGTGTAAGGTGTAAGTATAAGTATAAGGTGTAAGTGTAAGGTGTAAGTGTAAGGTGTAAGGTGTAAGGTGTAAGTGGGTTGCACATGGTGTGCAACCTCAAAAAAGGTGTAAGTGTAAGGTTTAATTTTTTACAAAAGGTGTAAGTGTAAGGTGTAAGTGTAAGGTATAAGGTGTAAGGTGTAAGTTACACACCATAACCAAACCCTATGATATTATATAATTATAATTATTAAATCAAAAAAGAAAAAATTACAAATCAATGTATGTGTTTAAAAATAATTTCAGATCAAAGGCAAATTTTATCAATTTTAATAATGAAAATTATAAATTTATAAATATTTTAGGAGATTTTTTTTAAGGTCCCCGGTATTAAGATTTTATAGTATAAAGGGCACTCGATATTTTCATAATGTCTAAGGTCCCTCAATACCAATTCAGAGAAAATTCGATCTAAAGAATTTCTCCGGACAAATCATAGAGAAAATTTTAAATTTCTTTGAACCAACACCAAATTTCTGTGAACAAATCAGAAAACATTCACTCTGGGCATTGCAAAATGTTGCAACGTTGCAATAAAGAGTTATGAAAAACTAAGTGAATAGTTATTGCAAACATAATATATAGATATTACACCTAAATCAAGAAAACATTTTTTTCTCTTCTTTTTAGAAATCTAGAGCATTTTGAATGACATGACAACACAAGTTAAGCACAGGGCTTAATCATAAAACATTCACCTAAAAAACTGTATATAAGTAACTAAACAACACAAATGATGCACAAACTTTATTACCAAGAAACAACAACAATACCAAAAGCACACATGTACAAGAACACATCATTTGTGTAGTTGACAGATATAATACAAGCTGTAGAAAGGGGAAATTGAATCAGTTAGACTCAACTAGTCATCTAGACAAAAATTTTCTGGACTTCACAGAGAAATTCTAATTCACAGAGAATTTCTCTGGTCGAATTTTCTCTAGACTTCACAGAGAAATTCTGGTTCACAAGGCTTTATTACTATTGAGAGTTTCTCTAGACTATAAGTTTGAATTGTTGAGAATTTCTCTGGACTATAAATCTATAATTTATTGCAAGGTGCATTCACAAGGCTCCATTCATCATCTTTCAAACCAGAAAAAATTGAAATTTCTCTCAGTACCAAAGAAAGCTAGAGAAAATTTGTGTGGCTTTCTGTGCCTCTATCCAAAGAAATTTGTGTTAGAGAAAATTTGTGTGGCTTTGTGTGGCTCTATCCAGGGAAAATTGTGTAGAGAAAATCTATGTGGTTTTGTGTAGGCACGATATGATTAAGAACTTGGCAACATAAAAAAACAGATAAGGTATGGGCTAGCAATTTTGTTGTTGTTTATACCAAACACATAAAATTCAATGATGGAAAGTTCATGAACTTGCCAAACTGAAATACTAGAAGTTTTCCTACAGTACTCTTCATTGCTAAGAAAGCAGCCTAAAATAATAACAAAAAACATAAATTTCAACATAGATACACTGAATTTACTCAGATGTATGTATGCTCATAAGGTAATAACAAAATTCTATAATTCTTAGTTATTAGCAGTCCTACAGAATATAAAAGCAACAAAAATTATAATAGTTGGCAAGCATCAGTTCTATCAATGAAGATTACTGTGATTGAGAGATGTGTTGTAGATTAAAAAGTACAGACCAAAAAAAAAACCTAGTAAGCTATGCTATCATACTTATAGGGAGAAAGTCTAAGAGATATATTATAGGACAAATTCTGCACTACAATAATATGAATAGTTTATGCTTACATTACACTAATATGACACTACAGTAACAATTTTTCCACATTCAATCTGTCCATAATACTCTCCTCAATAATGCCAGCATGTAAATCCCAGAAAAGTTAAATCAAGTTCCTTTCATATTAATTGAACTTATGCACTGTCCATAATTGTCTACTAAGTATTCCATTTTCTTATATTTTCTTTC